CGATAGGCGCGGCTCCCGGAACCAAATCGATACCGAACTCCACTTGCCTCACGGGAGGCACACCTGGTAACTCTTCGGGAAAAACATCTGGAAACTCACGCACCACCGGAACTTCATCCACTGAACTCGGTCTCTCGGAGATCACTCGCGTATCCATCACATACGCCACGAAACCCTTACAGCCCTGCTGTAAACACTGCCTCGCCCTAGCGGCCGAACAAAAGGCTGATCCAGAACGTGTACCCTCGCCGTATACCGAAAGAACTCCCCCACTAGGATCTCGTATGGTCACCAGCTGACGCTCGCAGTCGATAACCGCGCCGAATCGGCTCAACCAGTCCATGCCCACTATGACACAGACATCACCCATCGCAATAGGAACCAGATCGATCGGAAACTCAACCCCAAAAATCTCTAACACACATCCCCGGAGGACCTCCGTGGCACAAATCACTCTGTCGGCGGCTATGGAAACCCGCAGAGGCCGACTCAATGCCTCACGACTAACACTGATATGCTGACTAAAGGCCAAAGATACAAAAGACCGACTCGCACCCGAGTCAAATAACACTAAAGCAGGCACAGAGTTCACAAGGAAGGTACCTATGCATAGCATAATATAAGCATAATATCTCAACACCAAAAATAAATATATAAAAGGAAACGTACCAGCACAACGTCGGGTGCAGCGCGGACCTCTTCCGCAGTCAGCTGAAAGGCTCTCCCTCGAGCTCTCGGTGCCTCGGCCTTCACGGGCCGACTCTCTGTAGCTCTGATGGCGGCGGGAGCAGATCCCTGAGACGCTCCACGCAGCAGCGGACACTCCGCCTTCCGGTGTCCGGTCTGGTTGCAGTGAAAACACACTGCAAACCCCTTGGGGCAGTCCTTGGCCATATGCCCCTCCTTGCCACATTTGTAGCAAGAACCTGCTCGACAGACTCCATCGTGACCCTTGCCGCACTTCCCGCAAGTGCGGCCCTTCTGGCTCTCGGGTTTGGGATCAGCGGGCTTGGGCCGCTTGGCTGCTGGCTGAAGCTGTGCCGGCCGCCGATCCCTCCCCAGAGACTCTGCTTCCTCCCTGGCATGAGTCTCAAGCTCAATCCCCCTCTTTCGGGTATTTGCCTGAAGCTTAGCAAATGTACGATACGAGGAGTTCGCAGCGAACTCCCGAATATCCCGTCTCAAAATGCTCAGGTAGCGGCTCATACGTGCCTGCTCAGTGGACACGTGCTTAGGGCAGAACATCGCCCTCTCATGAAACATCCTCGTGATCGTTGTAACTGACTCAGTACCCTGCTTGCGGGTCAGAAACTCCTGTGCCAGACGCTCCCTCTCCACCTGGGGAATGTACTCATCTCGGAACATGGTAGTGAACCTCTCCCAGGTCACTGCCGAAAGCTCAGTAGGCGTGAAATGCGCCGTCACAAACTTCCACCAGTCCTTCGCTCCCAAGCGAAGTTGGTTCAGTGCGAACCGAACCTTCAAATGCTAAGGGGATGAGCAAGTAAAGAAGCACCCCTCCATATCGCTTTTAAGGTCAGATCTGCTTCCAAAAACTATAGATTTGGCCTCCCTCGACTGATTCATCACATAAAGCTCCTATCTTGGTGCTCATAACACACCCTATAACTCAATAATGGCATTTTTGACCCAAGGCATGAGGATTCCAATCCAAAGCCTCCATTGATCCCCAAAAAGCTTGGGTAAAGGGACACTCTGGACCTCTAAGGGTCCAGATCTATGGTTCCAACCTCATAAGGGACCAAAAGAACACCAAATCTTGCCATAAAAGGGTTCAACAAACCCTAAATCTAGATAAGCAACAACAACAAGAAGGTAACTCGGATTTATTACCACAAAAGTGATGCTCTGGACTTCAAACCCACAAAATTGGCTCCTTCTTGCTTTCCCTTGGCTAGCTCTTCTCCTTTCCTTGCAACAATGGCACCTCTAAGGTCAATAATGGCCTCCTACTTAGCTCCAATGCTCACACTCGATTAGGGTTTCACTCAAGGGGCTGGTGAGCACAAATGACGGCCATTAGGCCCTTTAAATAAGTCTCAAACCCGAGAAATTAGGGTTTCATTACACAGCGCTGACTCGCCGAGTCCATATCCTGGACTCGTCGAGTCCAGGCGCGATCCTGTGTCCAAATCCGCGTCCCTACTCGGCGAGTCTGAGCTCCAACTCGCCGAGTCCCCTTCACAAAACAACAAAATACAACAAACAAGATACCTGATAAAATCTGGCTGTTACAAAAGCGAACTTGTCAGAAGCGAACTAGTCAGAAGCGAACCTCCCTTCGGACTGAAGCTCAGCAGACCGAACCCGAACCTTGCCTGATGGACCAAACCTCGCCTGATGGACCGAACCTCGCATGATGGACCGAACCTCACACAAGGTACTGAAACTACCTTTGGCCCATTTCGCCACTTACCTCTTCGCCTCATTTCGCTTTCGGCCCAGCACCAGAAGGGACCGAACCTCCGGCCAGGACCGAGAGGTGTCGCTGGAAGCTCATTTTCACACGGTTTTCGACTAGTTTTGCGTTTTAGGCCCGTTTTTAATTGTTTTAACGCGGGATTTTCACCCAAAACTTTATTTTAACATATAAGGCCCCGTGTTTACTAATTAACCACATTTTTGGGGATAAACCTTATCCAAGAAGAGTGGGTGAAATACAAGAGGTGGAGTGTTGACTTTCCTTTATTGTATGACACAAACTTCATTTTCTCTCATTTTCTCTCTCTAAAATTCAAGATTCAAGGCTATACTCCAAGCTTTTCTTCTACTTTTGGTACGTATTAACGTCCTCCATATGATTATTTCACTTCCTTCTACTCAAATCATAGATATCTTACACAAAATCCATCCTATTGGTGTTAGATATTCGAATCCTCAAGCAATCTCCCAAAGTGTTCTTGAGTTGAAAACTTCTTTTCTCCATAATCCATCTACTGAAATCACATAAGGTGAGTTCATACCCCTGTATTTTCATGTTTTCTTAAGTTTTAAGGGGGGGTGATACAAGTTAAAACACCAAGAACATAATTAAGCTTTGCTAACAACTTTCATCAGAAAAGTTGGACTCCATTCATGGACTGTTTTGGACAACTTAAACATTTTAGTTTTCAAAACTCTATTAGGTTCAAATAGTTCAAGCTATTATCTTTAAAATGAGTACTTTCACATCTCTATACGATGTTTCTACAATTTATGGTGATTTTTACAAAACTGTCTATGATTTCAAACATCAATCCGGACCAGTCTATGATTATGGACTTTTTCACACAAGATAGAAGTCATCAAAATTCGTAATAAAAATTAGTAACAAACTAGACTCATTTTCCAAACTCTCAGAATCTATAGATTCTGATTTGGACCTTTGATGATTTTTCTATAACTTTTCTAAGAACAGTCAAAGAAAATGTTAACGACTGAAAAATGCTATAAAATTTCATTTCACCTTGTAACATGTTGAGCAAGGTGTATATCTTTATGTGAATATATGTTTTTGCAAATAGATGACATTTTATCTTAGTATATAGTCATACATCAGAAAACAAATGGATTTTTACCTAAAAAAATGTAGTAATTAATTTGTTGTTATAATGCATGTTGCTTCATTTTAGTAAAAAGTACATATACATATTGGTAAACAAAAGGGTTTTTACCTTCACAAATACGGTAGTTAACCATAGTAAACAAAGTTATAACTATTACATTTAAACGTTTTGATAAACTATAATAGGTATGGTTTATGTTTCCATTAACACATCAAACACATTTCGGAAGGTTGTATTCCCCCAGAAAAAGGTTTTACACTCACGCACACCACACGTAAACTTGTTACTTAAATTGTGAGACATTCTCTTTCCATACGTCTGAGTGCGGGATCCAAATTCCTGGTAGTTATTACCAGAGTATCTTGTAGGGAGGACGTGATAGTTTTGTATAGATGTATATTGGGTTTGACACCCCACACCTTACTGCTAGCTACAGTAGGACCTGCAGGTCTACGGGTGACAAATGTCATTTCAGTTTCGCGACGCCTGAGAAATGTCGTGGCAGGTTCGTTCAGTCATAGTATGGTTATAGCGACTCGCATAGGAAGTTAACAATAGATAAAGTTTACGGGGATTTTCATAAATCAAAAAGGGGTTTTATGTCGATTTAAAATCACTTTTTATATCAGTAATTACAGATATTATTGTATACTTTCAGGCTTGGTATTTAAGACTACACACCATTCATTACGGAATTTTTCTCAAATCAGAAAGGGTTTTACGCCAATTTAAAACCACTTTTATATCTATAAGTATGACAAATACTTGTTCATTTTCGGTCCCGACATTTTGGACCACATAACTTTTATAAGGAAAATATTGGATTTTTCTTGGTAAAACACCACACATTACAAAGAACGGTTTCCAAACTCTTTATTTAAAAAGCTTATGAACTCACTAACCTTTGTGTTGACACTTTTTCAAACAACTTGTATTCTTAGGAATTCAGTGAAACAGGAAATCAACAGCGTTTTTAGGATGGGACGATAAATCGTCAAACAGTTCATTTTGTCATCATAATGTAATTGATTTGAATCATGTAAACATATACTTTGGTGTAACTTTTTCAATTATATTTATGATGGTTGTAATTACTTTGAGCACTAATATACTCGTTGTTGTAATACTATACATGAAGTCCGCCACCCCCAGACATTTCTGCTATCCTTGGTTTGGGGGTGCGACACCACCACCACATGGAATCTGGTGGCATGCACAAATATCATATGTACTATGCTACTGTAAAATTAATCAATTATCTCCACAAGAACATGATGCTTCAACATGAAGATTTTGATACTAAATACCATTCAGAAAAATACATAATGCATTCACACACTTCAATCTACTGATCCACTAGGAAATCATCCTAATATACATATCACAAGTTGCCAGGAATCGTTACTAATTTTGCCACCATTCATCCAAGTTGTTTTAGATACTTAATGCCTGACAAGCAAACCTTATGAAAGCAATGGGTACCTGGTGCACAAGTGTTCTAAGAACAGTCATTGGATTCGCATGAGATAATTTTGCCACCATTCTTCCGAGCTGTTTTAGATATTCATTTGCAAGCCGTTTCAAGATCTGTCTAGTGTCCAACTGTATTTGCAGATTAATCTAGAATGATCAAAGGAAGAAGGGACAATGAATCAAATTTTATATGTTGCTCAATCAGGGATAATAAGAGCAAAGCAAATAAATTGATGTTTGTTTTTTAAATAATAAATTAAATTAGCCTTTTGTTAATCCCTTTTTCTCTTCTTCAAACTCTCTGATCTAGTAGTGATCATATAAAAATAAAATAAAACCTTTTGTACTAACAATATGTAGAAACTTTTGTGAAATAACAGTTTTGGGATTCTTGAGCTGCTTTTTCGTTGAGAGTTCTTCGCCTAAATGAACAAGGATAAATGTTTTATCATATTGATTATGTACTAAAATTGCTAGTCATTACCTTCTTCCATAACTTGAGTGATGATTTCATCCTTTTCATTGAGAAGATCAGCATCATCACTCTTTTTATTTTGCTCTCTACGTAGGGTATCTCTTTCCCTTATGAGAGCATAAACCTGCCAATATAAGGATTTTTTTTATCCATCAACAAGTGATATTTTAAATATTTTATCTATCTCCTTAAATATTTCTCCTTAAACCAGTTGGACGAATAAATCTCTCATGTTTTGGAGGTTTGCTTGTGAAACCTTGTCCTACAAATGTCACTTTTGTGATCATCCTCTTCCATTGTTTCGCTGCAATCCATTAACGTAACTTATTTTCTTACAAACAAAATAGATGAAGAAGAAGAAGAAGAAGAAGGGTAATATAGTCAAAATACTCACTTTTTCTTTTCCCAGTTCTAATCACTTTGAACATTTCATCTTCAGCCACGGGTCTTACCTTGGGTAAAGGAACGTCCCGCTTTCCTGCTTTCTCCTTTCTTTTTTGTTTTACTATGTTGCTAAGAATCTGAATGTTTGTTAATTATATTATATAGGAGAAGAGAAGAAGTGTTTTTTTATTAATTTAAGGAAAGGAAACAAACCTTTGCACGTGTTGTGGTTTCACGATCAAGAAGATAGACAGGAACAACACCTTCCTGAACATCATCATCCACCTTGCGTCTACTTGATGAATCTTCATGCATGACCAATCTATTATATTAACACACTTACAGCTTAGAAGGAACAAATAAAAAGAAATTGATGCCATAAGATGATAATGAATGATAAAAGTAGAGCAGAGATACTAACGTCTTCTTCATTTGAGCCTTTTCTGCATATCGTTTCTTAGCAAACATCTTACCCTTGATTCCTAAATCCTGGGTCAACCATAAAAGAAGGAAACTTTTTAGAATTTCATGGCTTCCAATTGAGATTTGAGGTTTACAATATATAATAATGGAAAAGTCGTAAAATCATTATCCGACAAGAGAAAAGTCAACCGAACCATCAATTTCATTAGATCCCACAGGAGTATATCGCGATATAAATCTAGGTATCGTATTTTTGTGTATGAATCGAAAGTCTTGAAAAAGGAGTTGGAATCGACGTTGACTACTTGAAATTGAAAGTCAAACAAAAAGTCAAAATCAAAGTTTTATTTGTGAATTCAGTAAATTTTGACTCAAATTTTGTTCATGTTGATAACGGTTGATGTAGTTTGAATGGAGACACTTTGTATCGATTGGGTCAAAGGCAAAATTGTAAGTTTGGGGTTTCAATTTGATTATGAAGTCGCCAGTTGAATGTGTATTTCAGGATTGAAAGTTGTGGTCAAGTAATGATTTTCGACGATTAAGATTCATTTTCGATAGATAAAGCTTTACAGTATAGATAGTATTTTGAAGTTGGGGTCGAACATAAAAGCTTTGATTTAGAATCGAGTGTTGATGTATCGATTTCGGAAAATGCGATATCAAAATACGATATCGACTTTGATGGATTCATGGAGTCAAAACCGATTTCGATGGAGCGGTTTGGACTTAAATACTTGTGGAGTCGAATCTTATTTTAATTGATGTGTTCGAGTACTGGAAACAGAATCGGGATCGAATCGTTCTTAAAGTCAAACTCAATTTTGACTAATGTTCATAGCTACCGTTATCATCGTTCTAGTGCAGTTTCACGTACGAATCATTTCAAAAAAGCTAAATGAATCAAAATGAAAACAGAAAAAGAAATCCTAACCTATTGATTGGGGTCAACGTTGAATTTGTAGAAGGTAACATGAGCGGCGGTGATTAAGATCTTTTAGGTCTTGCAGTAGTCGTGGATGCTCTGGCCATGCAAGGTAGGTAGGATCATAAACAAAGAGAAGATCGGAGAGATCGAGAGATGGGAGAAAAAGCGTACGTACCTGAGGTTTCTTGAGAGCAAATGTGGTATGAGGGTTGCATTTTGCCCTAATTGGCTCCCAATTACTAGAATAGGTTTGGGTTATGGTATTTAGTTGAATCCCCTAGTTTAAGAATGTTGCAGTTTACAACAATCTCAGATAAAACGGAGAAATAGCTTGGAAATTACATGAGAAGGGGGTTTTCAACCATGTAAAGGAGACGAGGGTTTTTAGCACAAGGCGGGAGTTTTAATTTTTGGGGATTTCATTTTCCCCCTAGGATGGAACGCGCGTTCTATTATTAGAGAGCCGAAGAGGAGAGAATCACAGAAGCGTGAAGTGTGGATTGAGTTTTTAAGGTTCAATGGCGGTGGAAGTGGTGATGGATTAGGGTTTACAGAGAGAAGGAAGGAGTGAATGAAGGGAGATACTAAGTAGAGAGGGTAGAAGCGGAGTTCTTCAAAATTTTAGAATTTCAGACGATTTGATGTTCCCCCTTTAAAAATGTGTGTTTAAGAAAAAAATATAAATTGACACATTCAGAGGACGCACATTTTACGAAAGGCGCCCTCCACATTTTTTTCTTTTCTGACACTAATTTTAGGGCTCGTACAAATGTGTGTCCACTATCCTTCAAATTTTGCAAAATTGACATTATCTTTTAGGGCACACACCAATGCACGTCCTCTATCAGTGAGTGTCATTGTTTGGGCGTCATTAAAGGGCTGTTTTCTAGTAGTGAATGGACCATGCCAGGTCGGGTCAAGTATATACCAATTATAGTTATGGACTTAGACACTAATCCAACAGTGTCCCACTTGGATAAGTCTAATAACTATTATTGCAAGTACGACTTCATAACCCGACTAGCATTTGTAGCTCTTAAAAGTCCTTATCGAACTATGAACAAATCAATGACGCATCCATTAGATAAGTGATCATATATTCCTCCATTCTAGATATCATATGGACTGAGACATGGATTATAATCATTCTCTTTGTCCATTTGTTGTTTCCCGATTTTCAATTTAGGACGACTGACTAATTGAACAAATCAAATCAGTCCAGGCTTAGCCAAGCACTTAGGGTGTCATCAATTAATCATTGAGGGGCCCACAGATATTGCGTTTATACCTATAAGGGTAAAAGGAATGGATAAACTTTGACTCATATACTTGTACTAACTACTTGTTGAATCATATACAAAGACACGTTTTATAACATCAAGTGATCAATGCGTTTTCGTGCAATCAATGTATAACCAACTTATAGTCAACAACTTATATCTCTTGGTTTGAAGAATATAAGATATTATCGTCTCATGATCAGTCGTGATAAAATCCATGAAGTGATTCAAATGAGTGTGGGTTTAATCCAATACTCAGAATTTATGAGCACTCATGAATGTTGTAGAAACTTTTGCTATATCCAACACCTTAGACATCTACAAGACAACTTCATGACAGTCTTGCGTTAATACCTACTTCCAACGTATTATCGATTATGGATGGTTTGAATAAATTAATTATTCGGCAAGTCAAAACATGAAAATTGAAACACAAGAATAATACTAATCCTATATGGCCCCAACACTTTTAGAGTAAATAATACACCTTTTATTTAAACACCATATTGATTACTCATTATTCATTGTATACTGTTTCAAATTTATCAACTTTATACTTGAATTAAAACACTAGTCGTCCCATGCTCCACGCATGTCCACTATGTTTTCTAAACAATAGTTATGCTATACACCAAGTATGCACACTATGTTTGTCTATGACCTTTACTTTGTAGAATAGATCGATTGAGCATAATTCCAATGATTCTCATTTCACAATCCCAAATCCTTATCATAAATGTAAGAATTCCAAATTGCTACCATTTATCGAAATCTGTTAGATTTTAAACTTATATGCACCGATCCTCTTGTAATGATTATGCACAAAGTCACAAAGACTTGTCAACAATCATTACAGAGTATTCCAATGGATATCAACTCCATGGAAACAAAGTCTCATATTCAAAGTACATTGTTTTGAACATCCTTCTTGCATTAAGTTTTCTAATCTTACACAGATTGAATAACTTCCACTTATGGAGACATTTCCATATTTTCATTTTGACTATCAATTCTAAACAAGAGTTGCCTCCTTTTAGAAAATGTCAATATGGTCCTTCCAAAATTAACACTATACTTCCAACTGTCCCTAAGCAACCAATCTTTGGTAACCCTTAGATTGTCCTCGACAACTGCTTAATCATTTTAGTCATATCCAATTCTAGACCTTTCGAAAATTTCGAAATTTCGAAAATTTCGACAACTGCTTAATCATTTTAGAAAATTTAGAAAGGATAAAAATTATAGCACATGCAATTGATCCTATACCCAAAGCATATGGGACACGATTCATGCTAATTTTTTTATTTGCCATGTTCTCACAATTCGAACTATGAAGAGGGACGCCGTAATCATAATCGAATTTGAGAATGCAACATATATAGAATTTCCTAATGTTGAACTATTCCAGCATAACATTCATATATATCCTCGACTAAAGTTGAATAAAATCTCAATCTAAGCTTGTAGAATCAGAATGAAGTATAAAATCCTCTTTCTTAATTATAACAAAACAACTTTCTGAAGCGAATTGAAACTTTTGTTTTCTATAATTAACATTGCTATCTTGCAACACTTAACATAATAATAATGCTCCCACTAACATGATAATTTAAATCTAACCAGCATAAGACTTTCTGCTCCCACTAGCTTTGACATGTACCCAGAAATCAGCTGGACTTCTAGAAATCAATACTTTGTTGACTTTCTTTCCAAAGTTCATATATCTGATACGAGATGCTTTGATAAGATTTTATCAAAATCATACCCCTTTCCTTAGATAGTTCACATGTGTGTCTAAACAATTATAAAGAAGGATGCCGTAATCATAATGTTTATACCTTTTTCCATTCTCACAAGTCCATGTTAGTGTGTCGGTTAACCACACACGCTCCACTAATGACTTTGAGAATGCAAATTTCACAATTGCTATCTACTTAAAATCTACTTAGTGAAAGTGTTTCCTCACCATCATCTTCATGAATCAGAGGAAAACCTTATAACACTTAGATTTTTATGGTGCATGTGTTCCTATCCATGTTAATTTGTCAAAACCATAATCATATGACAAGGTTAGTGACAAATCCAAACTCATATGGACTGAACTTGTTCAATCTTTATTTCTTGCCACCCGACAGCACAAGGGCCTACCATTGCTTTCAGATTGTTATGCAACCAATTAAGAACTCATAGAACTTATATGCAAAGTCAAATTTTAACTGGAGTAGACACATAAATAAGAATATGTCAACACGATAGGATACAAACCTCATGTCGTGGGTTAGTGATTAACAATACTCTTGATTAGTTCTTGAAACTATCTCAATATCTTTTAAGACTCTCACTAACCTCTTAACATATAATATTCCCTTTGTCAGTAATCATTTCCTGACAAAACAAAATATTCAAGAGTTAGTGCAGATTCTCATCATGTTAAACACTTCACACAATTAGTCTTAGCTGGTCTTTATTTTATCCAAAACATCACAACTTAGCAATTTCAAATGTACAAGAGTAAGAAACATGTTACTCTAGATTTGATAAGTGTTATAAACCTTCTAAAGATTATGTCACTCAAGTTACAATCTTGGAGTCTGACTCTAAGACTTGATTTTGAAACGAAGTATGATTTATCTTTTGGTTTAACGATTTCAACAATTCATGATTCCTCTCCTTAACCAAACAAATGCACTAAGGTGACCTTAGAGGATCATTTGTGATATGGTTTCATAATCACTAAGATAATTATAAAACGAGATACTCAAGTACTCTCCTATCTCTTCAGATTGTAGAAACTTTTATCTTTCTGCCTAATTTGATTCTTCTTGTTCATTCTTGCCAATCATTGAAACTTCTCCAATGTTTCAGAATTACACTTAAACTTGTAAGTGTAACCATATTTACTAAACTTTAGTAATTCATGATGAATACTCTTATCGACCTTTGTGGTGGACCTGACCAGCGCACAACCTAGTGTACCCAATCTTTCAGTCCTTAATTCGACTCACACATACATGTGAACAAGGACTTAGTCTTAATTTCCCAAAAATGAGAATTCTCATTCATCATTCAATACAACTTTCATGATTCCAAGTTTCTATCCAACTGAAACTTGGGTGATGAGAATCTTTCCTTATTTAGTAAATTATGGCACTACCACAAATGAAAGAATCAAATCCATTTTCCAATATTGCTATCAATGGAAACATATAAACAACAATTTTTCACAAATGTCATTGTAAGGATACTTAAAATAAATAAAATCAAAAACTTATCCATTTTCCAATATTGCTATCAATGGAAACATATAAACAACAATTTTTCACACCCGACTCTCCCGGCTTGCCAATATGTGACTTAACCTCCAAGATGTAAGCACATATAGTCTTTGCTTGCCAATAAGGATTGAGTGAATTAGAACTTTTCAAGTCTTGAAACTTGTGGGATAGAAAGAATTATTGGAGGAGGTGGAGGAAGTGAAGTATGATTCCAGTCCTATTAATGCACAATAAAGGGATTAATCTTTCACCTTGATTGCCATGTCGGATATCATCTTCATTAGGAAAGCTTGTTCCTAAAGATTTCGGAAGACCATAACTGTCTAAACTAGACATTTATAACGGTAGAAATTCAAGTTAGTTGATTTAAAGTCCTTAATATAACACCTAATATGAAATATTAAGGCTAGGACCCAACAAACTATTTATAATCGGAAGAGGGATGCCGTAATCCAAGTTATAAAATATTTGAAGGTAGGTAAATGACGATTTACTAATTTCCACCATGAAAACAAAATATAAATAAGTTTTAATTGAATTTGAAACTCCTAGATATTTTGAGGTACATTGAATTATCAATGGCATGTTTGAATCTTGATTTGCCCTCTCAAGTTTGTGACTGGGATGCCGAAGATCACAAACAATTGAATGTGATGAAGGCTACTGGTCATCTGGATCAGAGGGAGATGATGAAGGTGTTGAACAAAACTACTACTACATGGAGACCAACGATCCACCAGGAAGAAGCATTGTTCAACAGGCACTCTATGCTTCGGAGAAAGAAACAATATGGTATATTGATAGTGCTTGCTCCATGCACATGACGGGGTAGAAAGAATTTTTGTGAGATCTCAAACTTTCACCAAATGCTGGCTACGTGACGTATGGCAACAACTCCATCTCTCAGATCAGAGGCTATAGCATCCTTACAAACACTACTAGAAAAACAGCCTTTTACGACGTGCAATGTGTGACGTAAAACACTCAGACGATGCGCAAATGTGTGTCAAGGAATGCCCTATCATAACGAGAGACGACATGCTTTTGTGCATCGTCTATTTACGACGCGCATTTACGACACACATTTACGGCACGCATTTACGACACGCATTGCGTATCATGGAAGGCTCTGTCATAAAGGAAGATGACATGCATTTGCATGTTGTAACCTTACGACGCGCAGTTACAACTTGCATTGGGTATCATTAAAGTCTCTGTCAAGAAAGGCCCTGTTGTAAATGAAGATGACACACATTTTTACGTATCATAATTTTAAATGTTTAAAAAAAATATTATTTATAGATTTGCTAATTTTCAAATTAAATTTGTATTTATTGTCTCATGATAGAAAATAAAATATCATATACATAAAATACAATCCATTGCATAAAATATAATGTCATACAAATAATCGTTCCATGAAAAGATAAAACAAATCAATAGAAGTTGTAACAAAAATTTAAAAACTAGTTAGATACAAGAAATATAAAAAAATATACCCTCAAATGCTTTTCAAAGTCTAATCTCGATGTCAGCTCTTCAACTCACTTCTCCAGTTTGTCCTTAGCTTCTGTAAGGGCTTTAGCATCTCTTGCAGCCTATGACAACATATTATAATTATTTAATTACTATTTATTCTTATAATTCAAAGCATTTAGATAAAATTGTATTATATAATACTTAGATTTTTTACAGAAAATCTAGTCACCAGCTTCAATATTCTTAATTATTTCCTTGCTACCTTTGATCTCCAGCAAGTTTTTTTTTATGAATGTCAGCCATGTCACTTAAAACACCAAATTCAATATCCTTCGGGTACCTGCATCAGAAACAAACTGCATAAAATGAAACACATTCTTTTTTTTAGAACGAAACTATATTAAAATAAAAACCATATAGATCAAACATAATCGGCCTAAACAACCTTCAAAACAGCTCCAGGGGTAAAAATGTCATAAAATGGCAAGAGACAGTATGGTGCCATGTATGAACCGGGAAATAAATACATCATTGAGAGCACTATCAGCAGGTATCCAAGCAAAAGCCACCTCTAACTATAACTAAACAGACCAGTGTTTCGGATCAATTTTGTGGTGGGACTAGTGTACTCAGTTCCATTTCCATTTTCCGTGGTTACACCAGATGAGCCAGATGATGAAACCACCCCTTGAAAACCCCCTAATACTTGTGGTTGGGTTGCAACAGGCTTTTTCCCCTCTTCGGCTAGTTTTCTTAGCAAATTTGTGACTGTAGGATGAAACTTCGTGGATAAAGACAAAATTCTTGGAAGCTGTAAGCATAAAAAAGGTATAAGAAACATGAAAAAGAATAAATAAAATAAATAAATAAATTGTGAACTAAGTGGGACAAATTGTGAAGTATGTTGCTATTATATGACTTTATGATTCGATATATTTAGATGGAATGGAACTCACCATGCCATTGCTAAATTCACCGGATTTGTCTAGTTGGACCCACAAAGCTTTGAAAAGAAGATAATCCACAAAAATAACAAGCAGCTATAATGGATTCCTGCAAAACAAGACAATGTGTATTGTGAATTATGGATTTGAGTATTAACAAGTTACTTAGAAAGACAAGAAAACAAACAAACCTTAAAAGTGTCATAAATTCTATTAAATCCTAGGATGAACATAACAACTATTGCCCATGGAGGTGGTAACATATTCTTATTTCGCTTATTAGCTTCCTTAAGAATCTTTGGTAAGCCACAAACTAAAGCACATAACAAGAATTAAAATAATTGTTCTTTCTTAATATTTGCAAATAAGTTGGGATCTGTTAAAGCGACTGGAATTTAAAGGAGTTGAATTTTTTCTAAATAAAAATAAATTCTCTCACATGTTCGGACAATTCATGAGTAAGAAAAAGAAACGCATACAGAGAGGCGATAGGTGTTTTATGCTTAGCTGTTTTTTCAGCATCTGAGTTGCATTCAATTCATAAGTTAAATTTGCGTCTACTCTGGAGCGTATAGAAGCTAGCTCCTTAGGTATTGCATTGGCCATCTTCTCACCAATCTCTGCCATCTCATCTGGTCGAGTTGACTTTAACTGTTCTGCAGCATGCCTCAAGTCCTCAGCTTTCATGTATTTCATGCTATCTGTGACCATTCTTATCAACTCCAGATTCGACATCATCTACAATCACCATTTTCAATACCACAAAAACAATCACTATTAAGGAGGTTAATGGGTATCAACACAAGCATTTTTAAACATACAAAAATGTGTATCCAATAGAGTTCAAAAATAAGAATATTTATGTAGAAAACTAAGCTAACTAACAAAAATGGGTATAAATGCAATAATATTATGAACAACAAAAGAATGTGTATTTGGTCTAGTGGTATGATTCTCGCTTTGGTATGATTCTCGATTCTCGGAATGCCCCTTCTTTCAGCATTTTTCATACATTTTTTAAGTGCCACTACTTTCCTTAATTTGATATTCTATTATTTATATAAACCAAAGTCAGTCTAAGGCTTTTCAAATCAAAGTGGATAGTATATCATGTGGTTGAAGATCTGACAAAATTATTTACGAATAAACTCTCAACTCATGGGTAGTGTTGGGCAGTTTCTATTTTTAATTACACTCATAAAAAAAAACTTGTGTATACATGTATATATATATATATAGTGAATCATGTGTACGGGTGGGTGTTGCGTCTTTTCTATCTTCTGTTCAGTGTCATGAGAAATTTATCCAATGCAACCATAGCCATTCACACAAAAAAATCGATTGATATTTAATAAAATTTGATAAGATGAGATTAGTTAAGAATTGAGATCATCTTTGCACACCCACAGGCCCACACGGGGAGGAGGTTAGATGTAGACAGGCATACCTAAATTTTGTATTAAAGTACAAACACTAAAAAAAGTTGATGCTAGCAATATATATAGCCGAAAATAAGTAGGTAAATATTGTATTAAAGCACAAATAGTAAGAAAAACTGAAGACCTATAGTACTCCACTACCCTGATATTAAGCATCCACTCCATCCTACCTGAGGTCAAAAAAGACATCAAAGGTGATGGCATCATGGCTTACCATTTACCCATATTCAATAGTCTTTCAGACTAGAGACAATGTGATGTCAACAAATAAATATTTCAACTAATTAAGTGATAAGAATCAAAAAGAGACATCAAAGAAGTGGGCATTTGGTCTAGTGGTATGATTCCCTCTTTGGGTGCGAAAGGTCCAGACCTCAATTCTCGGAATGTCCCAACAACAAACCACAAATACCATATATGAAATGTGACCCACAATGGTGGTGAAAAAAGAATGTTGGGGTAAATAAAGCAAAAAGTAGACATATACTATTACAAAACACTATACTTGTTGAAGGAAACAAGATTAGACTAGTTTGAAGAATAGTATAGTAAGTATTAACCCAAAATTTGTAGTCTTTCACTATTGGAATGTAGAAATAGATATGGTAACAGAAGCCAACTTAGGAGTAGTACGACTAGTGACAACCTTAATTCACACATTCACTGTAGCCTCGAATTATGGCCACTCAGTTCCAGTGATTCTACACAAGAGTAAAATATGTAAAACTCCAAAAAAAACATATGTGGAAGCACCTCAAAGTTCACTACAGTCACATATTTCAGACAATGTAATCATGTAAATAAATGCCAACTCATGGGAAGATAGATACATCTTTTAATATGCATAAATCTTGATATGATGCAACTTCATTTACCAGAATAAGCAAATATGCAACTACACAGTAGCACTATTCTTTCATTGTGAAGATGCATTTAGGTACCAACTTGGTGAAAATATGTAACTTTATTACCAGAATAAGATATCTTTATGCTAGCATTTTTTTGGTGTGTATGGCATTTAAATATTTTTTTAATAATTGCAGATAGTATGAATGGGTATAAAAATGCAATATTAGTATGAACAACAGAGTATGAGCATTTGGTCTAGTTGTATGATTCTCACTTTGGGTGTGAGAGGTCTCGACTTTGATTCCTCGGAATGCCCCCCTTCCTTCCTTTTTCTTCAACATAATTTTAAATATAAAAGAAAAAATTAATAAATAAGTAAGTTCATACTATATGGGAACAGATGAAATCTGTATGGTACAACTTGTCACTCTGTCAGTTTCATCAGCAATCTCCTTCCTCACATCAGCTAAAAAAAGTATATAAACTTGTAACAAGATCATGCAGAGAGATTGAGAATTACAAAAGGATCATACGCTTTTTAGTCATAATACCAAAATCAGTGAACCACTTTCATGGAAGGTGAGCGAACTCTGCATATTCTTTTCCTTCTTCAATCTAATGAAGCTGTAGAACAAGAGGACGCCGAGTGACAATTCCTACAAATAGATGTTAATAATATTTTATATCCAACAAATTGAATCAGAAAACTTTGAAGATATAACAATTACCAGAACCACAAGGAAAAAAATCCTTGCCAACTACACTCTCCAACACAGATGATTTTCCATAGCTCTAAAAACAATTTATGGAAAGTGATTAGAGTGAACTGTGAAGTACATTTGCATGAATAATCACTGCTTACACAAACAATTTTACACTTTCATCTAAAACAAGAAGTTACATGTAGTTGTGTCAATAGATATGAACAACCATTATCAAGGGTTAGAATTACAGATCATTGTGTTGAAATATGAAATAAAGATCAAAGACACACAAACACCATAAATTAAAATTGAGAACCTAAATGCTTGCAAGAAGATTAAGTGAATTAAGTTATTGATCGGATGAAAGAAATATGAAAAGTAAAGAACTTTTGATTGGCGATTAATATTTTCATATTTATACCTAGCCACCGACAACTACGATTGTAGGCAAGGCATCCCAGAGAGTAAGAAGAGAGGATTCTTCACCGAAGTCGCCTAGGGCTGTGCATGCTTTCTGTAGTTTGTTGACGAGAGTAATTAGAGTGTCCATTAACAATTACAATCAATACGATATGACAGATTAATCAAATACGATTAGGTGATTAGGGATTTCAGAAATTGCAGATGGAGAGAAAGGCGAGTCTCTTTCTGAATTTGGTCTGTAAGGTGTACCTTTCTTCTTTAGTAGTCTTTTACATAAGTTGAAATTATACGTTCTCGCATTACTCAACATAGCTCCGGCTTCATTCGCATCACCTTTTGAACCCCATCCGGATTCCGATACTATAACCTCCATCATCTCAAATCCAGCTTTTTCGAAAGCAACGTATGTGGCATCGATTTGTGCTTCGAATATGTTATCATAATGTAATTTCATTTTTGCGTCTTCTATTCCTGTGTTATTTTTGAAGATTGCATAATTGTTATCGATGTGTTCAGGATCACTGATGTATGTGAGAAATGGATACGCGTTTATGTAGAAATGGGACTTGATTTGGGAGAAATATTCGAGGAGAGGTTTCATATAGGGAACTAGGGTTTCCTTAAACGCACCGGCTGATGGAGGGAACGAACTAGCGAATGCACTGGAGGAATGTGGGCTTGAAACCTCAACATCGTCGGCTAGGTGGAGGAGGTTGAGAGCGGCGTGGCTATTTTTCACCGACAGTAACAGGACTTCCCAGAGTTCCTGATTGCCACCACCTAGAACCTCGTTTCTGACTACAGTTCCACGAATACGAGTCCAGGGGACAAAAGGTTCGACGTTGTTTTTCACCCAATCCATAGCTTGATGTTGGCCACTGCTTATATCTCGCAGGAACTCGTTTCCAAGACCGATAATGATCTCGATTCTTGATCCTTTGAACACTTGGAGAACTTCATGAACGACATTGTAGATTCTTGTTGTGCGATAAAAGAGAAATGGTGATGATATTAGGGTTTTGTTGGGTATTGATTAGAGAGGAAGAAAGATAGAAATAAAATGGCAGCCTTTCAAATTTTGGGATTTTCATTTCCTTCCCCCAAGCTAAACATGTGTTTAATTAAATAAAATATAAAGCGACGTCTCTACACAACACTCATTTTAACATAGGTGCCCTCCGTGTTTTTAATTTTTTTTAATTTAACAATAATTTTACGGCACGCAAAAATGCGTGTCCTCTATCCTTCATTTTTTTTAAATGGATGTTATTTTTGGGACATACAAAAAATACGTATCGTAAATCACTGCGTGTCATTGTTTGCGGGTCATTAAAGGGCATTTTTCTAGTAGTGAAACGACAAATTCTCCATTTCAAACGCGGCATATGTAGCTGATTTGAAGCATAATCTGATAAGTGTGGCTTAACTTACTGATGCAAATCGACGATTTGAATTCTGCAAGAAACACAACTACGTCATGACAGAATACTGGAAGGAATTAATCAAGTCAAATCGAAACAAGAACATGTAGTAGGATTAGGTGTCTAAGGCCATAACTATTTTTGGTATGTACTTGATTTGATTATGAGCATGGTCCTTTTGGGTTTCCTTCACTCATGCAACTTGATAGGATGACAAGAGGAGAGAAAGTAGAATTTATTATATGAATAATAAACTAATACTCAAAATGGTTTTATTAATATACTACATGATTAATATATTATTTGGAAATCATATTATTTAATTATTATTGATCAGAAATTAATTTGGTGATCAAAAAGACTAATTAAATAATTGGGGGACTGTTATGCAAATCATTGATAGTTTCATAAATAGGTTAATGGACTCCAAAGTGTGGAGTGGACGAAATTTATGGGGAAGCTCATAAGATTTTGTCTATGGGCTCTAAGGAAGGAGTTCATGGGCTACTTGTTGCCTAAGTTAGGTATTAGGGTTTCCACCTGAAAACCCTAGCAACCCACACAACTATATATAGACCCCTTTGCTAGTGGAATTTATCCCTATGAGTTTCTAGGAAGCCCTAACCGAATTCTTTTTCTCTCCTAAGTCATCTTCTTGCATTAAGTGTTTGTGACTCCATTAGAGGTACAACACGTGGGCCACTAGGCTTTCAGAATTCAAGATCAAGAAGGATTAAACTTGTTATTGCGACATAACAAGAGAGGTAAAGTTTCTAACCCTAATCGTATGTCAATTTCGAAGTATGTATACTATTCATAGGGTTATTTAATTTGGTATTCAATGTTGTATGTTCAAGTTATAAAAACCTAGGTCAAAGAAATTAAGGTTGCATGTACACTATAGGAATGATGTTATCCTCAAAACTAAACAGTGGTATCAGAGCCTAGGTCATTTGTCTATTGAATAGATGCAAAAGTGAAATACCAAAGATCAGAAAATTGAAATTTTTTTGCTGTCTGACTGGCTGACTCGCCGAGTCCATGTATCGACTCGATGAGTTGCATGTACTCAACGTGTTCCATAGTGTACTCGACAATTCCAGGGATCTGGTGGCAGGATTTTTGATTTTTTGGCTAGATTTTGATGAGGATAACTACCAAAACTTGTTTTTCTTGCTAAAATGCAATTTTTTCAGTTTGGTATGGATATCCTTATCAAAATTGGTGGATTTGGTTAAATATGGATTATATAGGATTATTATGATTCAAATATTTGACCTAGTAAGTTTGAAAAGTTTCAAATTACACCCTTTAGGTTTTATAGTTTAAATTTGAACTTAAAAGTTTTAGTTTTTGAAATTTGAATAATTAAACCCTAATATTTTGAAAGGTTTCAAAAAATTTTCTAAAGTTTTGGAATTTAAAATTTAATTAGAAATTATTAATTTGAAATATTAAATTCTAGAACCCTAGTATTTTGAATAGTTCAAATTACACCCTTATGGATTTTATTAAATTAATTAACAGTTTAATTAAAAGAGAGAATTAATAAACCCATAATAACATGGTTTAAAGCTTAATCAAATTAAAAGTATAATTTGTTAATAGATTAAACCACCTAGTATTTTAAGAGTATAAAATACACCCCTATATTATATATAATTAAAAGTTCAATATTATATATGTATAAGTAAATGTCATTCTTACCGTTAGTAGGCCTCATTCACGAAGCTGGTCTATAACGGGTGTTTAAGGAAGCGACATGTGAAATGGCAGCCATTGGGTATCCACTCTAACCCACCATACTCTTGATTAGTGGAGGGTCGTTAGCCGAATGGGTAGGATAGAACATAACCTTCCATTATAAGTATAATGAAGTACGAAGTTACTAAATACTTTTATAAACTCCCAAATCTTAATTACTTTAGGAAAAATGTGAATTTGGTGCTAATCCATGAAATTGCACATTGCACCTTGTTGGTCGTTAGTGGAGCGTGTGTGGTTAACCAGTCCACTAATATGGGACCAATGAACGATGGCTATGGGTACCTCGTAGATCATCATAGATCAATGGAGCGTGTGTGGTTAACCGGCACATTGATTAGGTGATATGCATCTTCGGGAGTACCAAGCTAATTTGCATGGTTATTCATACATTGGCTGTGATCATCGGTATCCCAGTCACAAACTTGAAGGGCATAATTGAGATTAAACATGCCATTGAAAAGTTCAGTGAATCTCAAAAGATAGAGGAGTTTCAATTCATTTAAAACCTAATTTTTATTTTTGTTTTTCATGGTGGAAATTGGTAAATCGTTATTTACCTACCTTCAAATATTCTACAGTCGGATTACGACATCCCTCTTCCGACTTGTAGAATCTTGTGTTGGGTCCTACCCTTAATATTTCATTTTGGGTGTTATACTAAGGATTAAATCAACTAACTTGAATTTCTCCCATTTTGTAGATGTCAAAATCTAACAACTATGATCTTCCTAAATCCTTTGGAAAAAGCTTTCCACATGAGGATGATGTTCCACGATTGGATCATGGAAATGGAAATCATGCTTCTCTTCCTCCACCTCCTCCAATAATTCTCTCTGACCCACGTGTTCAAAGACTTGAAAAGTTCAAGGTTACTCAAGCCCTGTTGGCAAGAAAACATGAAGATGGAAAGCTTATATATGCTCACATCTTGGAGATGAAGTTACATATTGACAAGTTGGGAATGTTAGGTGTCAATATCTCAAGGAAGTTGGCTGTTGACCTGGTTCTTCAATTACTTCCTAACTCATATAGTGAGTTCATTAAAGAATACTATTTGATGGACCACGACGTAACCCTCATTAATCTTACCTATTTTCTTATTGTTTCTGAATCAGTAGTGATTTGGCACACTGGTAAAACAAATTTGAATAGTAAGTCAATTTACTAAACTTCCATGGATATTGACATTGGAAGTCCAAAAAAGTCTTCTTTTCCCAATGGAAAGGGATTGGCCAAGGTCAAACCGTTTGATCTGATGGTAAAGAGAAAGGCTGAATCTGAGATTGTCCCATGTGCTATTCCGAAAGAGTGCGTTTGTTTCTATTGCCAAGAGAAGGATCATTAGATGCGAAGGTACCTTATCTACCTGAAGGATCACGAAGATGGGAGAGTCAAGATCTATGACTCTGCTTCATGTATAATTCACTATCTAACTTTATTAAGTTCGTATTTGTAGATAGTTAATACATGATGTGACAAGATTGCATTTTGATGTTTTGTAGGATCGAAGTAAAGAAAGGAAGCTTAAAGGAAGAGTGAGTTAAGTCTGATCATGAAGAAATGGATATCGATCACATGGTTCGAAGATTAGTGTCACACCCCCAAACCAGAATGGCGGAAACATTCGGGGGTGGATGACTTCACGTAGTATCGCAACAATTGAATATTGTAAAAAAAGTAACACAACCAACATATATATAAAGTGAAAACGTATATTGTTGCGTTATACATTTTATCAAAGAATATTACAATATGATGTTAAATGTTCAATAATAACAACATCCTTAGTGTTCCTTCTCCCAAAAGCTGGTAGTTACCTGTATCACTGATTCCCTGAGAAATACAAGTGGTTTTGAAAAGTGTCAACAATTAAGTTGGTGAGTTCATGAGTGTTTCGAGTTGAAAAGTATACCCTTTTTAGTAGTAAATTGGTAAAAGAGGTTTTCAGAAAATCCAATATTTTCTTGTAAGTGTTTCAAAAAGTTTCCAAAGTTGGAAGGTGTTGGTATCTTTTATACTTGAATGATTAAAAATAACTTTGTATGAAAACTAATGTAGAAAGTTGCAATGCACATATGAATCTCGTAAATCAACCCTGTTTTATACTTTTTATGTGAGTTTTATAACCATGCTATTGACACTGATGGCCTGTAAGAACATTCTTCAGGTGTTGCAGTGTTATGACATTTGTCACCCCAGACCAGCCGGTCTAACTATAGCTAGTAGTTTAGGTGCGGGATTGTCAATCCCGTATAGATCTATACACAAGTATCACGCTCTCCCTCCAAGAGATTATGGTATATAATACAGGACATGAAATGCATACAAAAATGTACGTTGAAGTTTGGATATCTCACGTTGCCTAGTATAAGTAGATTTACAATGAAATGACCTTACTTCTTTTGAAAGTGTTTCGTTTTTCAAGATGTATATGTAAAATGTAGGACTGACTTGTTAACTATACCCATTATAGTTTTTTAGATAGTATGTTCCATTTAGTAGAAAATAACTTAGTGACATAATAGCTCTTGTATACATAAGTTGTTTGTATCGATATTCGAAGATAGAAATTTCATTTATGTTTATAAAACGATACTTTAACGTGTAATGTACTTGTATTCCCCCCCCCCTAAAACATGAAAAAGAATTGAAAAGTAGGGGTATGAACTCACTT